AAAGTATTAACACTTTTATTTCTCTTAAATGACCAGTTTTAACACCTGTGATGTGTATCTTTTCAGGTCTTTTTGTCAAAATGTGCGTTTTTTACCAAGGTATTTTTGACTGTGTTGTGTTATTGCCTGCTTTAATCGGTACAGCCTCTACTCTTGTATGAAAATAGAGTTTCATCTCAACGAGATAGTCCCCATTAGTATGTCCTCAGTTTTCCATCTGGTCTGTCCAGAGGCCTCAGGCGAGGGCTTGTCCGGCCGTCCCTGGTGGTCGGGTCCGGGGCCTCTGCTGAGCCCGGGCCCAGCTCTGAGAATCGCCACCCTTCCCCATCTCCCCCGAGTGGTGCGCACCGGCTCCCGCGGGCGTGGCTCCGTGTGCGCGTTCACCCGCGGCCCCTCCCCCCTCCCAGGTCATAGACATGACGGGCCGGGAGCAGAAGGTCTACTACAGCTACAGCCAGATCAGCCACAAGCACAGCGTCCCTGAGGACGGGCTGCCGCCGCAGGCGCAGCTGCCGCCCCCACCAGGCAAGGAGGCCCGGGCGCCCGGCTTCGCGCTGCCCGAGCTGGAGCACAACCTGCAGCTGCTCATCGAGCTGACGGAGCAGGAGATCATCCGCAACGACCGGCAGCTGCAGTATGAGCGGGACGTGGTGGTGAACCTGACTCACGAGCTGGAGAAGGCGGCGGGGGCGCTGCAGCAGGAGCAGCGGGCCATCGCCAGCCTCAGCGAGGTGCTGGCGCTCGTGGAGGAGTGCGAGCGGCGCCTGCAGCCCGGCTGCAGCGACCCGCTCACTCTGGACGAGTGCGCACGCGTCTTCCAGACGCTGCGCGACAAGTACTACGAGGAGTATCGTATGTCCGACCGCGTGGACCTGGCTGTGGCCATCGTCTACCCGCTCATGAAGGACTACTTCAAGGAGTGGGACCCCCTCAAGGTGAGCGGGCCGGGGAGGCCGCTGCGCTGCCTCTCGCCCGGGGCGGCCCGGGCTCCAGACGGTCCAGAGGGCAAGGGGCCGGCCGGCTGCGCTCAGCCGCTGTGTCTTCCTCCGCAGGACTGCACCTACGGCACGGAGACCATCTCCAAGTGGAAGGGCCTCCTGGAGAACGACCAGCTCCTGTCGCACGGCGGGCAGGACCTCTCAGCGGACGCCTTCCACAGGTGCTCCCCGGGGGCACGGAAGGAGCGATCCGGCCGGACGGCGGGGTTCGGCCTGTGTGGGCCCCAGGGCACCTGCGGGCGCCACGCCGGGAACTTAGATTCGCTCACCCTCCCCTCGCCGTGTGCGCTGAGTATCTGCTTGTCGTGCTCGCCGGGCTCTCCTGGGAGTGAGGCAGGGCCGGTCTCCAGGAAGGGACAAGGCGGGTGGTAACGGAGCGGACAGCTACAGCCCGGCTGAGAATGAGTGACAAGGGGGCCACCTGTGTGCGCACGTGTGGGTGCAGGTGGAGGTACAGGTCTCGGAGGGTGATGCTGAAGCCGTGACCCAAGTGAGGGGGTCGGCTCTGCAGTAGAGCCCCAGGTGGGGAAGCGCACGACCCCTGGGGGGCTTGTGAGCCCGCAGCCGCCCCGCCAGGGAGGCCGAGTGGGAGCCACGAGGGCTGCGGGCCGGCCGATCGTTTCATGACGGGAGGGCCCTGCTGCTGCGTGTCTACAGTCCTGCTCCAGAGGTGGGGCCGGGGGGTGCCCTGGGCAGTGGGACCAGACAGGCGTATAACCAGTGTTTGTCCCGCCCGCCGGCAGGCTGATCTGGGAGGTCTGGATGCCGTTTGTCCGGAGCATTGTCGCACAGTGGCAGCCGAGGAACTGCGACCCGATGGTGGACTTCCTGGACAGCTGGGCACCCCTCATCCCCGTGTGGGTGCTGGACAACATCCTGGAGCAGCTCATCTTCCCCAAGCTGCAGAAGGAGGTGGGCCCTCGGGGGGAGGGGCCAGGGCTCGGGCAGCACTTATCTGCAGTGGCTGTCAGTCAGCCCCAGCCTGTTCCTCAAAGCCCCCTTTGTGGGCATTCATTTACTTGGTTTCTTTAATGACTTAAAATCGTACCGTTTCTGAGACTTGAAATTTGTATTATTTCATAGGTATATTGGTGGCTGAGTATCCCTGTCCAATGGAGACTCTGTCCCCCCACACGTGTGCTCAGCCAGCAGGGCATCGTCTGCCCATGCCCCCCAATGGGCCGCGTGAACTCAGGCCCCCCACTCTCCCCCTGCAGGTGGAGAGCTGGAACCCGCTGACGGACACCGTGCCCATCCACTCGTGGGTCCACCCGTGGCTGCCACTCATGCAGGCACGCCTGGAGCCGCTCTACTCCCCCATCCGCAGCAAGCTGGCTAGCGCCCTGCAGAAGTGGCATCCCAGCGACTCCTCGGCCAAGCTCATCCTCCAGCCCTGGAAAGACGTCTTCACCCCCGGCTCCTGGGAGGCCTTCATGGTTAAGAACATCGTGCCCAAGCTGGGTAAGGAGCTGGGGAAACCCATCCGCAGCACAGCCACGTCCAGCACAGACTTCTCCCCTGAGAGGTGCAGTTCTGTGCCCAGAGTCCGAGTGTACCTGGGCCTTTCTGCCTCGCCCAGGTCAGCCTCCGCCTGCCTCCCGAGCTCTGGTTTGGGCCTCTGGTGACAGGGCCGCCACAGGAGTCCTCAAACTTCTGTCCCACTGGATTCTAAGAGCTAATTCTGGATTAGGGAAGGAAATGGTTTTTAAGAATTGCCATGTCAAGAGCTTAAATGCGACCTTTAACAGCAACTTGAAGGCAGACATTGGTTGTGCCTGAGGCTGGGCTTCTCTTGCAGGGATGTGCCTCGGGGAGCTGGTCGTCAACCCCCACCAACAGCACATGGACGCCTTCTACTGGGTCATCGACTGGGAGGGGATGGTCTCCGTCTCCAGCCTGGTGGGTCTCCTCGAAAAGCACTTCTTCCCCAAGTGGCTGCAGGTGAGCCCCATGTCAGCTTGCGGGGTGCGGGGGGACAGCTGGGGTGACTGGGGTCATAAGGAGAAGAAACTACACTGGCAGGCAGGACACAGTGCACACCCTTTATTGAGCACTTGCCACTGGGGGCCGAGCACTCGGCCTGTGTCATCCCCGATCCTCAGAGCGGCCTGAGGGTGGGGGTGGGAGGCCAAGACACAGCGTCTACATGCAGGGCCCTGCACTGCTGAGCTGACCCCCTTCAGCCCCTCAAACCCTGCAAGTGTCACCAGCTTGTAGACCGGGACCCAGATGAGCAAGTGGAAGCTGTGCTCCTGCCTGCCGCCACGGCAGACTCGGCTTCTCACCTGTGTCCTCTGGGCAGGTGCTGTGTTCCTGGCTGAGCAACAGCCCCAATTACGAGGAGATCACCAAGTGGTACCTGGGCTGGAAGTCCATGTTCTCGGACCAAGTGCTGGCGCATCCGTCCGTCAAGGACAAGTTCAACGAGGCTCTTGACATCATGAACAGGGCGGTGTCCTCCAATGTCGGTGAGTGGCCCACGCTGAGCCAGAGCTCAGGCCCTGTGGGCTCCAGGACGCGGCCCCTCCACATAGTTACTTAGCCCACAGCTGCCCACCCCCGCCCCCCCCGCCGGCTCCTGTGGCTGAGAGGAGCGCTGTCCATGAACGAGGCACACGTGAGCCGGGCCCACCTCGTCACCACTGTGCTGGCAGCTCCTCGGAGCGTCTGCCCGGCCGGAGCGGGGTGGCCCCTCTAACACTTAGGAGTTAACCCACTGTCTCTCCTGTAAAACAGGAGCGAGGCGCCCCTTCCAGGTCTCGGTAAGGACCCGGGGCTCAGGGTGACTGACTGCGGACTGCACTCAGTATAGGTGGTGTCTGGTGCGTCAGGAGGAGGCAGCTGACTGCTCAGTTACTACCTACCCCTGGGTGGTACTCAGCTCTCGGGAGGTCCTGCTGCCTGGTGGGTCTGGGGACCCCTCAGCCAGTCAGAGCGCGCGCGCCTCCGAACAGAGCCGCCAAGCACCTGGTCTGACCATCTTTCACAGACAAGACACGGAGTAGCAGCTGGGCTGTAATTTCTATTTAATTCTTTCTGCTTAGCCTATCACAGGACGACACAGGCCGTATACTGTGTTTAGTGAGGTGACCCCTGCTCACCCAGGCCTCCCGGGGACACCAGGGAGCCTCTCTCTGCTCACACCCCAGACCTCCTCCTCAGACACCCTGACTGTGAGCCCCTGGAACAGTCTCCCTTCTGGACCCCTCAGTACCACTGGGCATTTGGGGACCCTTCAACATTTGTGTTTCAGCCCCCCAGATACATCTATTGATAGTGTTGGCCTTATGTTTTCAGGGTTCTGAAACCTTTGGGGATGTGTGGGGTGAAAGCCCTAGCAAGTGGGAAGCAGTGGCTGATGACTGTCAGGGTTGTTGAGTGTTTTAATAATTTCTGGTCATTAGCAATGAACCAGAAATTCTAACGTGGCAGCACCCAGCTGTCCACCCGCCCAGGGTGCCTGGGGCTCTGTCAGTGGCGGGCGTGAGGCGCCCCCGGCCCGGGTCGGCGCCTGGGCGTCTGTGGGTGGGCCCCGCACCTCACCCCGCCTCCGCGTCTCGCAGGTGCCTACATGCAGCCCGGCGCGCGCGAGCACATCGCCTACCTCACGCACACGGAGCGGAGGAAGGACTTCCAATACGAGGCCATGCAGGAGCGGCGCGAGGCTGAGAACATGGCCCAGCGGGGCATCGGCGTGGCTGCCAGTGCTGTGCCCATGAACTTCAAGGACCTCATCGAGACCAAGGCCGAGGAGCACAACATCGTCTTCATGCCGGTCATCGGGAAGCGGCACGAGGGCAAGCAGCTGTACACCTTCGGCCGCATCGTCATCTACATCGACCGGGGCGTGGTGTTCGTGCAGGGCGAGAAGACCTGGGTGCCCACCTCGCTGCAGAGCCTCATCGACATGGCCAAGTAGGCCGCGCCTGCCGGGGGCGCGCGGGGGCATCGACGGTGTCTGCATCGGAGCCGGAGGGCACCCCGCATCCCCTCACAGCCAGCTCAGGTCAGCGCGGGAGGCTCCTCTGACTTCTTCCTGATGATCTCAAGGTCCTCACAGTCCTGGTAATCTGGCTCTTCCCGAAACGCCCAAGTGTCCGTGGGCAGCTGGGTTAGCTTTTGCACAGGAAACCAGTGGACGGAGGTGTCGTTAAATGCGTCCGTGTACCTTGGGGTCTGAGGGAACACCACCTCCTCCAGGCCTGTCAGAATCTGAGCAGAAAGATTCAAAAGGAAAATAAGCTTGGCGCGCACCGCAAGTCCCACCCTGCCGGGTTAGTCCTGGTTTATGTGTCACTCTGACGTCATTCTTTCTAAGGAGTACGGTGTTGTTAGCACTTAGTGCAGTGAGTTGGAATCCCCGAGGACAGTGCATAAGTTGGATCAAATACTGAACAGAGGAAATTAAGAAAAAATTAGGAGATGCACTAAAAAAAACATAGCTTTCCGGACCACAGACCCTTACAAGCAGCCACCACTCCAGGTGAAGGCGGGATTCTCCACAGTAAGAGAGGCAGTAAGACTTCCCAGGCTGTCCACCCCAGCCCCTCCACTCGGGCAGATACCTTTGCAACGTATGGGTAATGTTTATGCAGAATCCTTGTCAACAACCTATAAACCAAAATTGTTAAAAAACATGATTAGGCAGTATGAGACCAGATTCGTTCCCCTCAAGACACAGAAAGGCAAGATGACTTAAATAGAGCAAGAAATCGTTTAAAATGGGGGTGTAGAGGAGGTCACATATTTAGTAGCAGGTGTAAATGCCCCAGCCACTGCCCATCTTAGGCAGAAGCGACAGGATGTGTGACGCAGACCAAGAATACTGTTAGTTTTAAGAAATGACTGTTTTCCCCCATTTAGAAAAGCCGTCTCTGCCCGTCCTAAGGGAAGGGAGAAATTATTTGTAGAAAGACACCCTGCTTCCCAGCGTGACCCAGTCTGACACCTCCCAGCCCAGCCCTCTGTCCAGGTGCCCTGAGGGCCGGGTTCACCCCGGCGCCCGCTCACCTCTCCTCGAGCCCCCTGAAGCTGTTGCCAACGATGACCACCTTGGACAGGGCGTCCACCGACCAGTTCCTCCACAGCAGGTTGTTGTAGAGTGCCGTCCCGCAGTGCGGCATGTAGAAGACGGTGGGCTCCCCGCACACGCTCCGCTTCCCTTCCTGGGGTCCCACGTGCACAGGGTGAACATGGGGGGGGCAGTCCTAGCCAACCGCGCGCTCACCCCACGACAGGGCCGCGCCCAGTCCCCAGTGCGCCTCCTGCCTGCACAGGTTCCCCGTCCCATCGCTAAGAGGCGGAGGGGGCGGCGACCTCAAGCACCAGAGAGAGACACTCCTCCTGTATCGCCCTGCGCTCGACAGCTCAAGAATCACAGAGACTAAATCGGGACACCCAGAAAACGCAGGTCTGCTGCACACGTGTCCCATGTCACTCTGCAGCTCCCCACCCTGACTCGGGCCTTTCCAAACGTCACCTCGGGGTCCAGTCACCCCCTATGGAGAGCCTTCTTTCCCAAGGCCTCAGAGATCCCCCATCTGAGAATTCAGCCACAACCCAGCCTGGGCTGGGCTGCAGCCTCCAGCCCAGGGACAGGGCAGCTCCAGCAGAAGGGCCTCCCATGAGCGGTGCAGAGGCCGCGCCCTCTTCCCCTCCAGCAGCGACACCGCCACCCTGATCACAGTCGGCACACACAGGCCTCACGAGAATCGCGCACACGCTGCTGCCTCCCTCTGGCTTCCTCCGACAGGACCACACAGGTCCACACGGGACTGACAGACCCCGCGGCCTTGCCACATACCTCGTTCTCCCTGAGAACCACCACGCCCAGGGCGCTGAGAACCGTGATTTCTAGCTGACTGAACAGAGGGTCGTACACCCAGCAGTGACTCCTGGGAACCTGCAGAGGGCGACGCCTGGCTCGGTCAATGTGCAGGAGACCCAGGAGGGCGACAGTACAGGAGGACACTCACCTGGCACCGCTCCAGGAGGAGAAGCAAAAACGCCAGCTGGCTTCTAGCTATGGCGCAGCTGGCGAAGTTCCCGACGCCGTAACACACACACTTGAGGCGGCAGGTCCCTGGGACCAGGGTCTCTTCCAGGATGGAGCCAGGGGCTGTATCTGCCTCCACCGGGGGGGCGTCGAGATGCAGGTGTCCCAGGGCTTCCGAGAGGTGCCTCTCGGGGGCCCTCAGCTGCTCCAGGTGTTTCTGGAGACACCCGGTGATGGTTTCTGAAAGAGTGGGCCCTGCACAGTCAGAGGGCGTGCTGTGACCCAGGAGCTAAACCATCCACGGCCCAGGCAGCAGGGCGCGGAAGCCTCCACGCCCCAGAGAAGGGGCTGCTGGCCTCCCACCCAGGACACGTGGGGGCGTGCAGCCGTGCCCACCCCAAGCTGACAGTGGCTGGCGCCTGGGTACCCACGGCCTCAACGAAGAGAATGCTGCAAGCAAAAGTCAGATTCATCCGTTATCACAATGTCCATCTAAAGCTTGTGTTAACTCATCCTAGTTTAGTAAGAGGCAGCCAGTACATGCAACTGTGGTCTGAAATACCTGATTTTCCAATAAAAGAAGAACTCTCAAAATGATCCTATAAATAACTGGGAGTAAGAATATTTAACATGTAAAAAATTAAAAGGAGAAAAAGGTATGCTGGGGTGTCTAGAGACTAAGGAAACATGCACTGTCTAAACTGTTTCCCAGGGCGGTGAGTTCTCCGCTCTCCTTTTCTGTCACTGAATTCAGTAGAACAGATCTGTATGTAGAACAAAACAACACAAACAGCCATGTATCTATTCCCATAATGAGATACCAATGTTGACTTATCAGCAAAGACACCTTGAAATAAGGCCCAGGCTACAGAAGGTTAGATAGATAGCTGGCTCTCCACATCCACGCTGCTCAAACAATCTGTGAATGCTTTCTGGAAAACCACCTGAAAGTGGATGGCAAGTTGACCACTTCCACCTCTAGGAATATATACTAAGAACATTACCTTAAATTTGGTAAAAAGCTTTATGCATGAAAAATTAACGTATATTGGGACTTCCCTGGTGGTCCAGTGGTTAGGATTGCATGTCCACTGCAGGGGCGCGAGTTTGATCATTGGTCAGGGAACTGAGCTCTCACAAGCCTCACAATACAGCTAAAAAAAAAAAAAAAGTTCTGATTCCTTTTTTTAAAAAAAGAAAAATTATGTATAATTTACAAAAAATAAACAAGTCTCTCCACAAAGACCATAACTGTGGTATACTTGTGTTATCACCCGTCATGCTTAGGAAGAGATTTTAACAGCCGTGTAAGGTCAGGGAAGAGAGCAGGATAAACGTAAATTTCAACAACACGGCTGAAAGCCAACATCCCCTGCTCCCCTGCAGCAGGCGGTCACCGCTGTGAGCACTTTGCAAAACGCTTCATTTACTACACTTACACTACAGGATACGGACATTTTCGTGTCCATTCCACAGATACAGAAGCTGAGGACCAGGGTTAAGTGCCAGAAGACACACGGTTTTAAAGGGGGCGGACAGTTAGCATTAGACCCCAGCACAGACACCCCCTGTGAAGCAGACGTCACTCGACAAGAGTTGGATTCCTTGCTTGGCCCGCCTTCAGGCCCTCCGCCCACCCCGGCGCCTCCAGCCTGAGCCCCACGGTACCCACCTAGTGCTGAGCTCCAGAAGTCAGAGATAACCAGGTCCTCCCTGTTGAGAAAAAAAGAGGCTTGGTCACCTCTTGCCCTTTTCAGGGCTCCCTGACAGGGAGTGCCTCCTGACCGGGATCAGGAGGTGGGGAGGGGCGCACTCTCAGACGCAGAGTCCACCCGTGAGCCTGGAGCAGGGTGCCCGGGGGACATGGCCAGTGCGGAGCTGCTGGGCCCAGAGAGGGCGGGGAGAGGGCTTCCCGGAGGAGGCCCCCGGTTCATGGGGACACGTCTGGGTCTTGGCACACAGGGGCAGCTCCACAAACAGTGGCTAAACTTGGAGACTGAGCCTGTCCGCACTTCTGTGCCCTCATCTCCAGAACGGGTGAGAACCGCACCCATCACAGGGCTACGGCACGGGTGAAATGGGGAACACGCAGCAAGGTGCCTCGTACAGGGCAGGCCTCCGTCAGGGGCCACTGTTGCTGCAGATAACCCCAAGGGGAAAGTGGAAGGGGCAAAACCAAGTGTTGAGGCTTCCTCTAAAGTCAGCTGTTTTCCACAGACCAGAGCAACACACAGTCAACAGTTAAATGAACTGAATGGATTCTCCAGTCAAAAGACATAGAGTGGCTGAATGCACTGAGAGAGCACCCATCCATTTGCTGCCTATAAGAGAATCATTTCTGAAATAAGGATACGCAGAGTGAAAATGGAAGGGGCAGAAGAAGATAGTCCATGCAAATGTAAACCAGAGGAAAGTGGGGAGAGCTATACTTCTATCAGATAAAACAGACTTTAAAACAGGGATGTAGCAGGACTTTATGGGCTGCAGCAAAAGCTATCCTAAGAGGGATGTTCACAGCGATAAACCTCAAGAAAAGTCTCAAACACTTTACACCCCAAAGAACTAGAAAAAGAACAAAGTCCGCAGAAGGAAAGAACAAGCAGAGCAGACGTGTAGGAAACTGAGATTAAAACACGACAGAGGGCCTCCCTGCTGGCTCAGTGGTGAAGACCCCACCTGCCGATGCCGGAGACACGGGTTTCATCCCTGATGCAGGAAGATCCCACGTGCCACGGAGCCAGTCCAGGACTGAGCCTGTGATCCAGGGCCCTCGAGCTGCAAGTCCTGAGCCCACGTGCCTCGACTACTGAAGCCTGCACGCCCAAAAGCCTGTGCTCCACCAAGGAGAAGCCACTGCAGTAAGAGGCCCGCACGCCACAGCCGGAGAGTAGCCCCGCTCTCCACCACCGAGAGAGAAGCCCAAGCAGCGGAGGCGGCCCGTCACAGCCAAATGCGCGCGCGCACACACACACAATAACACAATCACACACACACACACACAATAACACACACAATAACACACACACACAATAACACACACGCAATAACACAATGACACACACACAATAACACACACACAATAACACAATGACACACACAATAACACACACAATAACACACACACAATACACACACACAATAACACACACGCAATAACACAATGACACACACAATAACACACACAATAACACACAATAACACACACAATACACACACACACAATAACACACACAATAACACAATGACACACACACAATAACACACACACAATAACACAATGACACACACAATAACACACACACACACACAGTACACACACACAATAACACACACGCAATATCACAGTGACACACAATAACACACACACAATAACACAATGACACACACAACACAATCACACACAACACAATACACAATAACACACACAATCACACACACACAATAACACACACAATAACACAATGACACACACACAATAACACACACAATCTCACACACACACAATAACACACACAATAACACACAATACACACAATAACACACACAATAACACACACACAATACACACAATAACACACAATAACACACACACAATAACACACACAATAACACACACACACAATAACACAATAACACACACAATAACAATAACACACACACAACACACACAACACACACACAATACACACAGCACACACACAATACACAAAACACACACAATAACACAATAACACACACACAATAACACACACGTGCACACGCGCGCGCACACACACACACACACACACTAACATAAAAGTATTTTTTAAAAAAGACAGTAGAGAAGATCAATAAAACTAAGAGCTGGTTCTTTGAAAAGATAAACAAAATGGACAAACCATTAGCTAGACTCACCAAGGGAAAAAAAGCTCAAATAAAAATCAGAAATGAAAGAGGATACATTACAACTGGTACCACAGAAATATACAGAATAAGAGACTACTATGAACAGTTAAATGCCAACAAATTGGATGACCCAGAAGAAATGGATCAGTTCAGTTCAGTCGCTCAGTCATGTCCGACTCTGTGACCCCATGAATCGCAGCATGCCAGGCCTCCCAGTCCATCAATGACTCCCGGAGTTTACCCAAACTCATGTCCATCAAGTCAGTGATGCCATCCAACCATCTCATCCTCTGTCGTCCCCTTCTCCTTCTGCCCTCAATCCTTCCCAGCATTAGGGTCTTTTCCAATGAGTCAACTCTTTGCATGAGGTGGCCAAAGTATTGGAGTTTCAGCTTCAGCATCAGTCCTTCCAATGAACACCCAGGACTGATCTCCTTTAGGATGGACTGGTTGGATCTTCTTGCAGTCCAAGGGACTCAAGAGTCTTCTCCAGGAGTTGCTTGTATATTTTTTAGATTAATCCTTTGTTTCTTCATTTGCTATTATTGTCTCCCATTCTGAAGGCTGTCTTTTCACTTTGCTTATAGTTTCCTTTGTTGGATGGCTAACAAACACATGAAAAGATGCTCAACATCACTCATTATCAGAGAAATGCAAATCAAAACCACAATGAGGTACCATTACACACCAGTCAGGATGGCTGCTATTCAAAAGTCTACAAGTGGCTGATTCATGTCAATATATGACAAAACCCACTGCAATGTTGTGAAGTAATTAGCCTCCAACTAATAAAAATAAATGAAAAAAAAAAACAAAGGAAAAGTAAGGACAATGTAAAACATAAAAAATAAAAGTCTACAAGCAATAAATGCTGGAGGGGGTGTGGAGAAAAGGGAACCCTCTTACACTGTTGGTGGGAATGCAAACTAGCACAGCCACTATGGAGAACAGTGTGGAGATTCCTTAAAAAACTGGAAACAGAACTGCCATATGACCCAGCAATCCCACTCACTCCTGGGCATACACACCAAGGAAACCAGATCTGAAAGAGACACGTGCACCCCAATGTTCATCGCAGCACTGCTTATAATAGCCAGGACATGGAAGCAACCTAGATGCCCATCAGCAGACGAATGGATAAGGAAGCTATGGTGCATATACACCATGGAATATTACTCAGCCATTAAAAAGAATGCATTTGAAACTGGAGCCCATTACACAGAGTGAAGTAAGCCAGAAAGATAAACACCAATACAGTATACTAACACATATATATGGAATTTTAAAAGATGGTTAACAATAACCCTATATGCAGGACAGAAAAAGAGACACAGATGTATAGAACAGACTTTTGGACTCTGTGGGAGAAGGTGAGGGTGGGATGTTCTGAGAGAATAGCATTGAAATATGTGTATTATCAAGTGTGAAACAGATCACCAGCCCAGGTTGGACGCATGAGACAGTGCTCAGGGCTGGTGCACTGGGAAGACCCAGAGGGATGGGATGGGGAGGGAGGGGGGATCGGGATGGGGAACACATGTAAATCCATGGCTGATTCATGTCAATGTATGGCAGAAACCACTACAACATTGTAAAGTAATTAGCCTCCAACTAATAAAAATAAATGGAAAAAAAAAAGAGTCTTCTCCAACACCAACACCACAGTTCAAAACCATCAATTCTTCAGCACTCAGCTTTCTTCACTGTCCAACTCTCACATCCATACATGACCACTGGAAAAACCATAGCCTTGACTAGACGGACCTTTGTTGGCAAAGTAATGTCTCTGCTTTTTAATATGCTGTCCAGGTTGGTCATAACTTTCCTTCCAAGGAGTAAGTGTCTTTTAATTTCATGGCTGCAATCACCATCTGCAGTGATTTTGAAGCCCAGAAAAATAAAGTCTGACACTGTTTCCACTGTTTCTCCATTTATTTGCCGTGAAGTGATGGGACCAGATGCCATGATCTTAGTTTTCTGAATGTTGAGCTTTAGGCCAACTTTTTCACTCTCCTCCTTCACTTTCATCAAGGTTTTTTCGTTCCTCTTCACTTTCTGCCATAAGGGTAATGTCGTCTGCATATCTGAGGTTACTGATATTTCTCCTGGCAATCTTGATTCCAGCTTGTGCTTCTTCCAGCCCAGCGTTTCTCATGATGTACTCTGCATAGAAGTTAAATAAGCAGGGTGACAATATACAGCCTTGACGTACTCCTTTCCCTATCTGGAACCAGTCAGATGTTCCATGTCCAGTTCTAACCGTTGCTTCCTGACCTGCATACAAGTTTCTCAAGAGACAGGTCAGATGGTCTGGTATTCCCATCTCTTTCAGAATTTTCCACGGTTTATTGTGATCCACAAAGTCAAAGGCTTTGGCATAGTCAATAAAGCAGAAATAGATGTTTTTCTGGAACTCTCTTGCTTTTTCGATGATCCAGCAGACGTTGGCAATTTGATCTCTGGTTCCTCTGCCTTTTCTAAGACCAGCTTGAACATCTGAAACTTCACGGTTCATGTATTGCTGAAGCCTGGCTTAGAGAATTTTGAGCATTACTTTCCTGGAGAAGGAAATGGCAACCCACTCCAGTATTCTTGACTGGAAAATCCCATGAACAGAGGAGCCTTGTAGGCTGCAATCCATGGGGTTGCTATGAGTCGGACATGACTGAGCGACTTCACTTTCACTCACTAGCGTGTGAGATGAGTGCAGTTGTGCAGTAGTTTGAGCATTCTTTGGCATTGCCTTTCTTTGGGATTGGAATGAAAACTGACCTTATCCAGTCCTGTGGCCACTGCTGAGTTTTCAAAATTTGCTGGCATATTGAGTG